TTTGATGAGCGATAGTCCGCCCATAATTAGGCTCTACCACCTGAACCGATCTCCATATCTTCATATATTTTTGCGCTGACATGTGCGTGCAACGTTGTGGCAAGTACTATCGGACTAGATACTCTGGGATCTGGCCCTTATCACCGTCCACAATCTGAGTCCAAAAGCAGCTCGACAAGTGCGTGCGACATGGTAATAAACGGAGCATAAAACGGGGACCTGTTGTGGAATGGAAAATAATTAAGTTAATGCAAAATGCATTTTCGAATAGTCAGCCCGGCATAATTGCCCGTGGGTAGTGTGCCATTTTTTAATGTGAACCTGACAGCGGGCTAGAAACCGAGATCTATCATTTTTAACAAACACCTTAGCCGACAGGATATCTAAATTGAAATTTAAATCGAGTTTTTTATTTTGCACCGTTTTCCTGCTTAATAAAAAATTAAAACTAATTATGCCCCTATGAAGTGTTTATGAATGCTTTTACTTCTTATACTCATATCTATATTTTAGGACGAAATTTATAAACATGACTGCATATATGTACATATAACTTGCCAAGTTTTATTTAATTTAAGTAAATAAATATTTCTGATATTTCTCGTGATAAGAAAGTATTCCTAAATAAATTTTCATACAAAATAATAGCATAAACCTTTTTATAAATAATAGTAAATAATTGTTTTTACTTAAGATCCTGCAATTGAACTTCAAAGCATGTACTCGTAAGCCAAAATATATTTTAACCAACTACTTGTTAAAGAGCTTTCGTTGAGAAAGGCGACGGCGATCCTTTCAACGCTTTTTGGAAAGGGCCTGGTAAAAGGGTTATCGCAGCGTCATTAAATTCATTAAAAGTGCATCAAAATGTATCAGCAGCACTCCACGTAATTCGCTTGTAATCCATCAGCGTGTCGCCATTGACACCCGAGGGGCCCTTCACTCGACCGCTTTTTCTCAAGAGGTTTTATATAAAAATATGAATTACAATGTGCGCCGCAACATGTTAATAAGATGAAGTACGTGAATATGCACTTCGGACTCGCCACTTCTGACTGGCGAATTCAATTAGGCGGGACGAACCGAGACAGTCATGTGCGATAAGTGGCCGCCACAAAAGCCGCAAAGGCAGACGATGCCCATATCCTAGCTTATCCTTAGCCCGATCTGCGGTTAAAGCCGAAGTTGAAGTGGATGTTGCAGTTGCAGCTGCAGATTCATTGTGTGCGAAACGAGGCGAGTGCGTAATTTAATAAACTCACGAGGGCAACTAGGAGCAGGTTCAGGACATTTGCGACAACGCCTGCCAGCAATTCGGTCGAAAACTAGTCGGAGCAACTTTAATCCCGCACCGCATTTGCGTAATAAAAGTTTCCACTTTATTGTTAATTAAATGGCCAGGACATGTCGCGGCCGAGGTCCTTTTCCCAGCTCTCCAGCTCCAGCTCAAGCACCAGCACCAGCTCCAGCTCATGTTCCTGGCCCAAAGGCCTTTTGACAGCGCAGCTGCCGTCTCTTCAGACCACGTCTATCAATTTAAACGTGATCTGGCCATAGCCCGAAAGTGTAGAAATTATAATAAATTTAGCCGCATTTGGCCCGCAGTTTCTGCTGGCCATAATTATGCAGACACCTTGCCAGCTTGCCAGTTTCCCAGTTTCGATCTCCAGCGAACTGCAATTGCATATTGCCATATTGACAGCATGATGGATGTTTGGATCCCAAGTCGTCTTGCGCCGAATCGAAATCGATTGAGCTGCTTGTGCTCCAAAAGGAGCTTTTGCATGAATGGAGAATGGAAAACTACACCCAAAAAAAAAAATTCTCATTGAAACTACTATTGGATATGAACAATTTCTCTCTCCCAGATGAGTATTAAATTATGGCTTTAACTGCAGTTAACTACCGAAGAGTCTCTTCAATTATAAGTTTTGTATCTCTAAGGAAAGATTTATTTTATTTTTCTTTCAATAGGAAACCATTTTCTTATACTTTGAAAATAACTTACCTATTTTTTATGCAATTTTAAAAATATTTTCGTTTTTAAATGAAATGCTATACTTTTTGTGAAGTGCAAATACTGCCACGGGTGGTCCGCCGTCAAGTGGCTGGACATTAAGATTCGTCTGGCGACTACCGTTGGCCATTTAAGACAATAAATTTCATAAATAGCTTATGCATAAAATGCAGTCGCTGCCGCCCCTTTCGGCCCGCTTCCCCTCCTTTGGGCCGCTCCATTTGGACCCGGCTCTCAACTCCCGCTGCGTTGATATTAATTGGACGACATAATTGCGGGGCCACGTTGGCCATAATAATGCGGAGTGCGGTTCGTGGGGTAATTGCTCTGGAAACACGTTCCACTGGCAGCACTCCCCAATCGAAGCCAGCGAACTACTGGAGTTGGAATTTGTATAAATTTGGCTAACTTCGGCTGGCCATTCCATTGAGGGTCCTCTTCCGTAATTATAGGTTTGTGGCACTCGGTTTTTTTTATTGTTCGCCGCTGCTTTTTGGCGGCACACACTTACCAGCACACACTCGGCGTGGCCGCAATTATCGGTGTGTGTCCGCCTTTAATTTATTGTCTTTGGCGCTGCCCTAAATCCAATTGTAATACAATACGCCGCATTTATCATATTTAAGTACCGACTCCAAACGCACACACATCCTGTATTTACGGCCTGCTAATACGCGGTTAAAGTTTAATGAGTGCAACAAGCAAGGCTTTCGCTCTTCAACTTAAAGTTATTCATAAAAAGGATGCTGCAATTGCAAAAAAAATATTTTTTATAAAAAATTTAAAACTTTTTAGCATCACAAAAGTTTCCAAAAACACAAAATAATTTATACATAAATGTATACTGTTAGAAAAATATTTCTTTGGCTTGGATTTTGTATACAATAATTTTCGAGCTTGTTAATATGGAAAGCTAATTTTCTCTTAATTAATATTATAAATAATAATATTGAATAATTTTATCATTCGACCAAATGTTTTATTTTTTCTCTAAAGTCGGCATTATTCGGCTTTGTTTCCTCATCATCAGGCTGAGATTGGCTCGAAACCAGCCAGGACATTGTTATGATTATAAATATTTATTTTATGCGTTGCTCTGCCCAGCTTGGGGCTTTTCTCTTTAGTCCGCAACGTGGAAATCGGTTAAATGGACTGTGCTGTTTATTTTTACGTAGTCCCTTAATAAGCCCCATGAATAATGGGCAAATAACAGAAGGCGTCTGAGGGAGGCTGATCCTTCGAGGACATTAAACATGTGTGCGAATGTGAGTGTGGCATGTGTGGAGGTGTGGGCTCAAAAACAAAATGGCGCTAAGCCAAAGATGGAGCAGGAGATAAAGACAGAGTCGAAGGAGCAGCGAACAGAAAACATGTCCAGGCCAAATTGTGCACAATTACGGGCCACAAACGGACTGTACTTCGCCCGCAACCCTCCATCCCCCAAGCCCCCTTAACCCCGCGCCATATCCAAGCGGAAAAGAATTATTACGTTGAATTTTCCCCCAAAAAAGCAAAGGAAAAGAAAACGAAGCGAAAGAATTCTCATTTTTTGATAGCCCACCAGGACGCTGCCGTAAGGATACAGGCAGAAAAATGACACACTAAATATTAGATTCAGTAAAGAATCAGTTATTTTCGAACAACATTTTTAGTCATTTTTAGTTTTGATAAAATAAATAACATGCAGCTTAAGTTCAAAAATATATTAATATTATTATTATTTTACCAGATGAAATTCTTTTATATTTAAGATATTTAAATATTTCGACATTTTTGACTAATAAATAACATTTCTTTTAAAATTATTATTTTTGTTTTGTGCTTGTTCAATTATCAGCTGTGATTAAAATAATAATAATAATAATAATAGCGTCTCAATTTACAATCACCGAGTTAAAAATTGTATTTATTAAACGTGATATTTAGTAACTCTTTGCCATTAAATCACAGTTTCGAATCAGTAGTCTTGACATATAAATATATATTATATCGTCTTTAAAAAACGCTAAAGAGTAATGTTTATTACAGTAGCCAAAATTTTGTTGTTGTTAATTTTATAAACAATTTTTTTGATTGTGTATTTAAGGATATGCCAGCTACATCTCTTGGCTCACGTGCATATGACAGTGGAGTAAACAATTTCATTTCGCGCAGCAGGACCCACAAGATAACAGCTACAAACGAGACGCAAGATGCTGCAGTGGCGTAGCGGGCAGGGGGGAGGAGTTTTCGGACGTCGAGGGGGTGGCAGAGGGTGGCAGAGGAGCAGCAAGGACAACGACAGCACTTGAGTTCTGTTTTCGAAGCCGAGCAACAAGAACAACAACCACCGGCAGCAGCAGCATAAGAAGTTGCGTAAATATATTGTCCTGTCGCTTTTTTTCAAGGGGGATGGGCAGTGTTTTTCCGTAGATCCGGGACAGGACGAAGGACGAGAGAATCCGGACTGCGGTCGGCCGGGACCAATTCGAAACTCTGCTGCCAGCGCCGTGGGCGTTGGACGCAGTTAGTCGAGCGTGCCTGGTGGATTTTTTAATGCGTGCCTCTATAAATTTTGCACGCCTTTTGTAAATGTGAGGACCAAGGAGTAAGCTCCTGGAGGAAGAGTGAATATTTTTTGTAGAGGAATGAGTCGTGGGCAGCTGAACACGTGGCCTGACCAGTTTTTTTATTATTTAAAACTGTCAAATTGTTACTGCACAATTCTCCTTCCCCCTGGGGGTTTGTCTCTGCTCACGAAAATCTTGTATATTTGTCATACGAAATGTTTATCCCCAATATTATTTCATAAACAGCCTGGAACAACCCTGCACAGAAAAAATATTTTAGTAACAAAACAAGTAAAAAAAATATCAAGTTTTTAAATTAAAATTTCTTTCATAAGTAAAAGTCTTTTTCAAATTATTAATATTGTTTTTCAGAGGCAAATAATTCGAATATTAATTTACTTTACTTATTTATTAATCAACACCTGATGAAAAAATACAAAATTCTGTAAATTATTTTTTTCATTCTCACAATTTATTTGTTTGTTGATGCCTCTTCCTTCTTCACCTGTTCAGTATCCACATGCAATTCCTTTTTAAGACCAACACAAGCCTTTAACTTCAGAGTGTCCAGCAAGTTCAGCCAATCGTGAACTTGCCCATTTTTCTGATGCTGGGAATGCTTTTCCTTGACATCAGTGTTGTTACCTATCGATTCCTGGGGCGACACACAGAAAGCCACTAGAAGATTTCGACGGCTAAAGCGGATCATATAGAATGGTGCACCCTTGCTGGGATACGAGCCAATGAGCAAATCTTTGGCACCCTTCTCTTTTTCTTCCTCCTCAGTTCTCTTCCTCAAAGTCTTGGACCTTCCTAAATAGTCCTTTAGCATCCGTTCAAAGTCCCAAATGGTGAGCTGACAGTCTTGCCCGCCCACCACCAATAAGTTGTTGTCCAAGGCAATTTCCAGGGTGTTAATAGCTGCCTTATGATGGTCCAAGAAACGGATCAAAACCTCATGGGCAGTGTCCCAAACCATGATGAGATTGTCATCCCCGCCAGAAACCAAATAGCGACCACAGATGGAGTAGGTCAAGGCGTTAATCCTGTGCGTGTGGCCAGTGAAAACACGCACCTGGGCTCCCTTGACGATGTCCCACATCCTCACTGTGCAATCAGCCGATCCAGTGGCCAGGTATTGACGATTTGGGTGAAATATGCACACCGCCAGCTCGGCCAAATGTCCTTGAAGGATTCGAGCGGGTCTCCTATTATCCTGCACCCAAACCCTGGCCGTGCAGTCATCCGAGGCGGTGGCGAAATAGTAACCCATTGGTGCAAAGACCACAAAGCAAACGGCAGACAAGTGGCCAGGAAAAATAACCACACAACTCCAGGACAGAAGGCACCACATGCGAACGGAGAAATCCTCCGAGCAACTGAGCAGAAAGCGATCATCCGGATTAAATGAACACCCATAGACCGGTCCCTGATGCCCGTGAAGAGTGCGTCTCGAGGACTTCTTGGTGGGATCCAGCATGCCCTTGTCAATGCCAGCCATTCCGGTGTCCAGAACATTCAACCAACTGGCTGACTTCAGCTGAACCAACTTCGAGGGTTTCAGGGAGAAAATGTGTACGGCAGAGGATGCCGTTCCCAAGGCCAACATGCTGATGCTCTCAGAAAACGAGGCACAAATCACCTTCTCATCGCTGGGAGGAGCTGTATACAAATAGGTTGAGGGCAGGTGCTCCCGATCCAATCTCATCCGGTGCTGCTCATCGTTCTTGCGGTGCAGCAAATCCATTCTCTTGGGATTGGGGTTGTACACCCTGTCCGCCGGTGGCAAGTGAAGATTCTTATGAGCCTGCGGCTCGTTCTTCCTCCGGCGACGTTTTTGCAGAAAAGGACGAGTGGTGTATTCCTTCTTGTGCAACGGTTCCGGAGCAGCCCAGAAAATGGGTTCCAAAAGGGGTTTTCCCAGGACGAAACGCTGCTGTGGCCTTTCACCCTCTCCATAGGTTTGAATCTGAAAATGGGCCAGCAACTTTTCCTGCTGACCCTTGGGCCATTCCTCTGTGTAGCAAAGAAACTGGCGATAGGCATCCTGCGACATTTGAACCTCCAGTTTCTCGTGACCGGCCAGCAATTTTCGGGCCTTATTGGGAACGTCTTGAGGCCTTAATATATCCCTAAGTTTCATTAGTCTTGGCAAGTACGAATCGTCCAAATAGTCTTGATTTCGAATCAAAAACAATCTGGCCCCCTGCCTCTTATCACTGGCCATCATTTGTAGATAAGTCAGGGCCACCAGGGGGTATATCAGTTGATTTATCTCATATTTGCAATGACTAGGAGCCGATTCGACGAGCTTAACAAGTTTTTCGACGGCTTTTTCATAGTCCACGAACACCGACTCCTCTTTGATGACCAGAACACTAAAGTTTTCTCTGTTCTCCGGAAACTGAGTGCTGTCTTCGTAAAAATCTGAGCCATTATGGGGCACGGTCTGATCTCTTGCGGCTTCTTCCACCTCCGAATCACTTCGATGCTCCGGTGATTTGTCGGAATTTTTTTGATTTTCCTCTTCCTTCATAATTGCCATAATATCTTCTTGAGAAATTTCACCTTTGTCCACGGGGAGCGTAGACATTTCCTCCCAGTAAGTTAGTTCATTCCTGCCTGATTCGTCATTTAAATCTGTGCTTATATCTTCATTGCCTTCATCAAGTCTAGTTAAGCTATTCCCACTGCTTAAGCTAAAATTGGAGCTAATATCACTGTCGGAGAGATAGTCTTCCTCCTCCAAAGGTGGCAAATCGGTTTTTTCGGTTTCGTTGCCAAACTGACTTGGTTTTTCCATTTCACTAAGGTTCGCCTTTATATTAAACAACTAGAGTTAGTTATAATTTAAGACTTACATTATCTGTTCTATTATTTCAGGTTCTTTGTGATTTTGTACGATTTCGAATTGACTGGTCTCTTCATCATATATTGGCATCGAAGGCATGGGACCATTAAAAACTGGCAGAGCTACGCATTCTTCATTTTGGCTTGGCTTTGCTTCTTCAGAGCTAAAATATTAAAAAAATATCTTTTTTCTTCATATTATTTAATAATATTAATAGGTCTTCAACCTTTTATCCAATGTAAATTTACCGATGTCCTTCAGGTTTGTCAGCCATTCAGAGGGTGAACCTGTAGCTAATCATCATAACTTTTTTCCTATATTTTATTTGTATTAATATAATTACCATCAGAGTTGGAATCATCCCAATCGCTGACCTTTTCCGATTCCGAGCTGGTGGATTTCTCGCTCTTACTTTCAGCTTTATCCCCTTCATCGTCGGATTCTCCGATTTCGAAACCCATGTGCTCCTCGAACTCCTTTAAATACCATTTGTTCATCTTCATCTGCTTCGATTCTGTTTTAGGTTGGTTGGCTTTCTGGCTATCCTGTTTGTTCGAAGCTTTCACATGTTTCTTACGTGTCTCATCCTTCGAATCGGAGTCGGAATCCGAAATGGAAATGACGTTCACATTTTCATTAAGCGCTTTGAGTGCACCCCTGATGTCGAAAGCATCCTCATCTATGTCTTCAGTTGGTGCACCACCAAGTAATGCTTCCAGTTCCTCGTCTACATCAAAGTCTTCATTTTGGTCTACTGAATATTTCTGTTCTTCTGATTTTGAGCTCTGGTATGCATTTTTTGTTAAAAAAAACAGGCTAAAAGGTCAATTTTTCTACTCACTTTGTTTCGCTTCGAATTTTTATTCATTTTGGTTATTTTGGTTATAGCTTCGATTTAAACTTTGAACAAATTTGATCTCCTGCTCAGCAATTAATAAAAAATTGTCTTTTCTTTTTCAAGTTTTCAATTTGACAGCTTGGAAAAGTGTGGCTCTATTTTTGAAAGGTATAAATACAGAATAATATGTGACTTTATAGTTGCTTACAATACTATGTTGTTCAAAATGTCTTAAATAAAACAATATTAATGGTCCTTAAAAAAATTAGGTGTATATCGTTGCTATAAATACCGAAAATGCATCTTATTTATATAATTGAAACATATTTTTTGTCCTGAAATGGACACATGCACAGATTTTATGTAAAAAATGTTGCCATCCAAAGGAGTTCAATTTTTGCGGTTGATTTTATGTTTTCGAATACTTTTTCTTCCCGATTTTTTCACTTTTTCCACAATTTTCCACCGACATGACACGACGGCGACCGCTGATCTGAAACAAAATGCTGGCACAGCATCACATCACATGAGGGCGCTACAATCCACGGTGTCCTTAAAAAAGCGAGGGGTGGTGAGGTACGAGGACTGGTCCGTAGGTAGGAAAAAAATTAATTTGCATACCCAATATTCAACGGATTTGCTGCTGCGGCAATGCTTCCCATGCTACTGTCCGCTTGAGGGATTCTGTTTTATTTGGTGATACCCTCGGTAAGGGCTTTATGATTTTAAATGAATTTTAAATACACAAATCGGTTATAAAATCAAAGAAAAGTTTAAATAAAAAAAATATAATTTGAATTAAAATGTAAGCAAATGCAAAAATGCACAATTAAAAAATATGTTATAACCTTCAAAACAGTAAGATAAAATTTCATGTTTTTCGTAAATTGTTTTTCACTTCGCAACACTTGTGTTGTTGTTTTAAATAAAGTTGTAAGTTGAAATTATTTATTTTTTCGCCCAGCCAAAATTGAAGTTCCAGAGGATTTTCGACAAAATAACACTGCTGAACTTAACTTAACATTTTCTTTTTCAGTAAAACTTCCAGGGAATTTGCTGTTCGGTTCCTTGAGTTGACCATTTATCTTGCTTTTTCTCTTTTCCACCGCTCACTTGTTAGTGGAATTGTGCGAGTATGCTGGCGCACCAAACCCGCGGATGCGTTTGGAATTCTTCTGTAGTTCGGGCAATATGTCGGGCCAGGCAACTCACTTTGCAGGGCACAGAAATAAAAGAAGACGAGTGTAAAAAATGAATATACAAAAACCAGGCGACAGGACAAACCCGCAGCAAGAGCAGAAATGTTGCTGCATATTGTTTTGTAATTTCCGTCATGATTTATGGCGCTCGGGGAAAACTCTTTAACTGCTTTAAGGCTGGTCAACAAAAAAAAAACTAACAATCTAGCCATCCATGGATGGTTACATATGTGTGTCAATGATCAAGGGCCACAGTTAGAGGCGAACAATGGCAAACAAAGCCTCATTATGGGCGAACAACAATTGCCAAATCACTTGATATGTAAGGCTGGCCATAAATAAATCACACTGCAGCATAATCCATTGTAAAGTGTCGAAAAACTGCAATTGAAATGCAAATCAATGCAAATCGATACTTGAATCATCACCGGGCGCAGCAGAAACTTGAACATGAATGATTCATGCAACGCACGCGAACATTCAAATGCAAATGCCAAAATACCAGAACGCCAGAATGCGAAATGCAAAAATTATCCAAAAATGCAAATGTGCGAGAGCGAAAAACCCGCTGTGAGGGCAACAATCAAATCAAAATAAATGCACCACACAAATCCCAAACTGCAACAAAGCCAAAAATAAACACACCACAAACAATGCAGCACAACTGCTTGCGGATTTTCGCACTTCCGGTTAACTGTTGCTAATTTGATTAGGGAATTTTCCAAAAAGGGCGGGGTCTGCAAAAAAAAAAAAAAAAAAAAAGAATATGGGGCGTGGCAAGTGAAAAGGCCATAAACAATTTTAGCTGCTGCTGATTTCGCTCTGGCCTGCCAACTTATGCAAATTATCTTGTGTGATTTATGCCCGGAATTTTCTCGCCTTCCAGTGGAGCAGAAAACTTTGCTCCTTGGGGTGCGGCTGTAAATTGAATTTTACAAAACAACGTGGCTGCTCGATGCGGCCAAATTTCCAACTATTAAAGAAGATTTGTATATATATAAAAAAAGGTATACAAATGTTACACTTATGCAATTTTTAAAAGCATTTACCAAACGTTTAGTATTAAATTTGATGATAAAAAACCAACAAAAAAATACACTTAAGAAAACTTTTTTGGTAGAATTATTAATAGATTTAATTTTGTTCTTAAATATTTAGTGATATCTAGATTCTATTTATTTTGATCTAAAGAAACGATTTCAGTGCTCTGCAGTAGTTACAAAATAGTTTCACACGCCTAGCAAAGATGCTAAGATTGCTCTTTTGAGGTTCTGCAATTTCTTAGCAACCCAAGCTGTTTCCCATATTCAAATCTTCAGATCTCATATAAATTCCATTCAATCATATCCTGTCATGCTGCCACCAGGAAACTGGTTCTTGAGCAAAGCCCTTCGTACCTTTCCTGTTGCGCATTGTTCGGCCCAGAACTTGTCCGTGTCGATTGTCATGCTAATTGAGGCAAAAAGGATTCCCAGGATTCTCGGGACGAACACCAGGTAGAAGCTGTTAAGAAACTTAGTTTCCTCACAGACATTGCCGCGTTAAGTGCCTCGAAGGAAGGCAGTCGTTAAATAAACCATAAAACAAGCAGTCAGCCATGGAAAACAAATAAAGCCCACCCACAAAATAAGCTGTTGGGCGAAAGAAAATCGAGGAGGGAGAAGGAAAATGTCCCCGGCTGCCAAGAAACCACGAGCATGACAAACATTAACACGGCCTCTGACGCAATTTAACACCAATTACAATATCCGTTACATCTAATTATTGTAAGCGGCCCACAAGGAAGCCACTGGGCAGCCGTCTTGCCGACTAAATTAAAGAAAAACACCGCTGCCAGGACATGGGCGGTGGCGCCATTTGCGGTTGCCAGGACATTAACAATGGAAACTCCAGAAAAAAAGGAGCAGGAGCAGCAGCAAATGGCGGCCATAAAACAACAGAGAACAGAACCCATGAAATATGAGCAGGAAACGCAAGGAAAACACAACTGTGGGTGGCTGGGGCGAACATTTCTTAATTTCCAACAATTTACGCTGAAAGCTTTCAGCGCTCAAATGACGCACAGCCGTCTGTGCAGGACTCCAGTGTCCTGTTCTTTTCATCCTGGCTCTGGTTCTCTGTTTCTGGCCAAGGCGACGATGATGATCTAACGCCATTATTTCCCCGCCAAACGACAGGCAGTTGTTAATGGGGCTTACCACTTAAGCGCGACGGCATAAAATAAACACGCGGTCTGCAGCCGCTTTCCACCGCTGCCACGCCCCTTGTCCCTTGCCTTCCTTGCCTTCCTTGCCCACCGCCCATCGCCCATTGCCCAACTGCGAATGTCCTGGCAAATTAATTAACATGACGCTCAGTCGCTGGCAGCATTTTCCACACTCAAAATCTTGGGGTTCTTTGGTTCATGTAAGTGAAAACTTTGACAAAATATTCAAACTGAAAATAACAATTTACAAATTAAGTAATTGTTAATATAGAAAATAAAAAAGCTTAAAATATAAAAAAACAATAACAACTCAAAGTTATTGAAATAGAAATTAATAGGTTTTTTTTTAACCCAACCTAAATTACAAATTTTGAAATATTTAAATCACTTTTCTAACAAAATGTTTTTGACTCAAAATATTGTAAGAAAGCTTATTAAATATATATTATTTTTGTTTTTTTATTAAAGAAAACCTTTTTAATACTTTCCGTAATTACAATAATAAACGCATTTTTCGTAGTGCAGCTTTTTGCTGTTCTTCCTTCTTCGCTGTTGTTTTTGTCTTTTGGCGGTTTTTTCTCCGGCTTAATTGTGAACCATCGTCTTCAGTGCTTCTGGGTGTTCAATGCCCCCCCAGAAAACATTGCGATTGGGGTGCTGCCCAGCGGCAGTTTAACAATTAAGGAACGTTTAAAGTTCGGTGAATTTGGGGCGCGGCTTTCCTTTGATTACCAGCCACGAGCAGAAACAGCAGCAGCAGTGTCTTCTGAGGTGAGGCGAGTCCTTTGGCAGGACTCAGGACATTCGACATACGCGGCACGTTGTCTGCATCCGTTTGACACCTTTTGTCGGGCCCAAAATGGCACAGGAAATGAGCTGGCCCGTACGTGACTTGTTTTCGTTGTTGCCCGTAAATTGGAAATGTAAAATATTCGGTTGCTCAAGCCCGATTGTTTGGCTGCTCGAAAGGGTCACGGAGATTCCGGGCCCACTCTTTAAACTGACCCCAAGTCGGCCTGCTGTTTAACATTCTAAATTTGTGCACTCGCTCAATTTCCTTCCATTCCCCAAATGTAATTACCCAAAAAGGGCCGGGCCCAAAATCTTTCTGATTTGACACGAATTTCTCGGCCCGACTCCGGCCGGAATAATTAGTGTCCATTGAAGGGGCGGCCGGGCGTTACGTGCCAAACAGAACTCCCTGCGGCAAGGACGAACGCTCCTTGGAGGACTGTCCTGGCATAATTGCAATTAAAATGTTCGCCGGGAAGTGCAAACACTTGGAGGCAATTGCCGTGCACAGAAATAACAACAGGCAGATTGCGCAAATTAAAATATAATTAGAGACAAACAAGTCGGTGAATTGTTGGGGGTAGGCAAATGGTTTTTTTTTTGGCTATAAATAATTCTACTAATTATTTCAAAAATAATCTAAATGGAAATTAAAATTAAGTTCAGAAGTTCCCTTAACAAGATTGACTATATTAGTAATTAACAAAGCTTTATTTAAATATTTGACACAAAATCGAATCGAGTCGATTGCCAAAAATTGCTTTCCGCAAGTGTAACGACGTAACGACGTTTAAAACATCTTATTTTTTATCAGTGTACTCTGCACATTTATTTTATTCTTATCCAGTTTATTTATTCATTTCCTACATACATGTTTCACCAATTGAATGAGATAATTATTGGCGGAATATTTTTATGAGTACCTTGGTACATTTAATAACACCCAAATTTATGACTTCATTATTGGCTAGTTAAAACCTCTCCGTTTAAATCCAAAAATTGCAGTGTATACAGTGGCGCCCACTGGCGTGCGGTGGCCGCGAAATGCCACGCACTTTCCACTGGAATAAGTTTTTGTGTTCGGCTGGAAATTAGCGTGAGACAGCCCACCTTTTCGTTTTTTTTTTCCTCGAGGGTTGAACGAGTGAGCGAGAGAGGGAGACAGGGAGACAGGGAGACAAGAGAGTTAGAGGGAGAGGGAGATATGGTATAGGGGAGGAGAGTACGAATACCTGGTGCCTCCTAACTAACGAGCAAGTAATTTTGTGGGCCAACTGAGCTGCCTGACAGCGTCTTTAATGTTTCCTTGGCTACTTTAAGTCGCCGTTGTCTTGGCCTTTTCCTATATTAAGTATACGCCGAGATGGTGAGGTAGTGCGTAGAGGGTGGTGCTTTCGCTTTTTTTGTTGTCAGGGGGAAGGCCTGTGAGGGTCGTTTTTTTTTTTTGGCAGGCCACACCTTCCACGCTTGCAGGGGTGACTAAACAAGAAATATTTCGTTTTCCTGCGTGCGCCGAGCGTTCGCTTTTACTTTTGTTTGCCCGGATTTTCGATCGAAAAAAAATATAGAATAAACGAAAAAAAATAAAATGAAATAAAATGAAATAAAATAAAATAGAAGCGAAATGAGGAAGAACGAAATTTGTTTCGCTGCTGCCTTATGAAATGTCAAAACTTCAAAGCGAACTCAACTTAAATGCAAGAAAATGAGAAAATATTCACTTGAGTGCGTATGCGCTGTTGTCGTTGCCCTCCTCATCCTGTTTAGCTGATTTTGTGGGCATTGTCCTGCCGTCCTTGTTGTTGTTTGCGATGCTGCTGCTGTTTGAACTGTTGTTGATAGCCTTTATTAGTTGTTGGCCCAAAGCTTAGGCGCGGCCTTAACATTTTCCCCCACTTTCACATCCTGTCCCGAAAATTTCCACGTCAGGACTCGTGCGCTCAGCAAATATATATAATTTTGTGCTGCCCTCACTCGTTATCCTCGTTTTCCATTCGAATTTCGCTTTTTTTCCGGCAGCAAAATTTTATTAAAAAATTTTATATTAAATCAATTGCGTGGAGATTTTCTCCTTATATTGTGTTTTTCTAGTCGGGGTGTTGGATGTGCTCATGCATAAAGTTGTTTGGCTGGAAGGCGATGGCGGATTAATGTTGAATGTGGAATAAAGTTGGCAACATTTCAGTATAATTCGATTAGAGTATCTGGAGGAATCTTTCTTTTTGTTTTACCAAAGTTAATAATATATGATTTTGTATTCGCCATTATAATATGTGAATAGTTTAAGTAAATCTACCGATTTGGAAAGTTTGGTTGAAATAATAAAAAATAAAGAAAAAAACGGAAGTAAACCTAAAGGTATTTCTTAATGGGTGGTAACCATGTTTGTGGGATATAACAATTAATTATAACTTTTCAAACGCCGGTTAAGTGGCCCCTCTTGAACTTTTAATTACCCAGAATCGATTGTTTTGCTAAATGCCTTAATTAAATCGTCAATATTTTGACATTAAATGTGTGCAAGGCAAAACTATAAAAGCGGCATTTGCCTGCTATTTGCAAACACTTCTACCATAAGATCGTTTCCAACTGGCAGTGAAAATGGTGAAAGTCGAGCCTGTGGAACGCTACCGCAAGGTCATTCGCATGATCCGTTTTTGCGTGGGATTCTGCGGAAATGACGTAGCCGATCCCAATTTCCGGATGTGGTGGCTCACCTACACGGTGATTGGAGCGATTTGCTTCTTTTTCGCCTGCACAGGATACACCATTTACGTGGGCGTCGTCATCAAAGGAGACCTCACTGTGATCCTTCAGGCACTGGCAATGGTCGGATCGGCGGTCCAGGGACTAACCAAGCTCCTGGTCACCGCCAACATGGCCCCCCAAATGAGAGAAATTCAGAATACTTATGAGGAAATTTACAGGTAAGAAGTGCAAATATTATGATTATTTATGGTGAAAAATGTATTGATAACATAAATTTGTTTGATTTGTAAATATTCGGTTCTGAAAAGTATTTCCCTCTTTCTAATACAGTTACATTTTATTAACTTATTTTATTTTAAACATTTGTATATTTCTTGTAAAATTTTCTGTTCCCTAGGGAATATGGTGCAAAAGGTGGGGAGTATGCCAAATGCCTCGAACGAAGAATCCGTACAACCTGGCAACTTTTCATCGGCTTTATGCTCGTCTACATAATTCTCCTGGGTCTAATTATATGCTTTCCAATCTTCTACTTGGTGGTTCTTCACAAAAAGGTTTTGGTCATGCAATTTCTGATGCCTTTTCTTAATCACAATACTGATGGAGGACACCTAGTGCTCACTGCCGTACATGTGGCCTTGATTACTTTCGGTGGCTTTGGCAATTATGGTGGGGATATGTACCTTTTTCTGTTCGTCACCCACGTGCCCTTGATCAAGGACATATTCAGTTTAAAGCTTAAGGAATTTAACGAGGTGGTCGTCAAAGGGAGAGATTATCCAAGGATAAGGGCTATGCTCTGTGATCTACTGACCTGGCATCAATTATACTCCAGGTGAAGGCATTTTACATTTTCCGAAGTTTTTTCTAAAATGTTATATTGGTTTTTAGTATCTTACAAACTACAAAGAGGATCTATAGCATCGTGCTGTTCGTGCAGCTTTCAACCACTTGTGTTAGTCTGCTGTGCACCATATCGTGCATATTTATAAAATCATGGCCCGCAGCACCTCTTTATCTATTATATGCTGCCATAATACTTTACACTTTCTGCGGTCTCGGCACTTTGGTGGAAAATTCTGTAAGACTAAAACTGCTATTTAACGGTAACTGTAATTAATCTCTGCATTTTCAGAACGAGGATTTCTTGACGGTTATCTATACGGACTGTCTGTGGTACGAGCTGCCCGTGAAGGAGGAGAAGCTACTTATTATGATGATAGCCAAGGCCCAAAAGGAGGTTTGCCTCACCGCAGCTGATATGGCGCCATTGTCCATGAATACTGCTCTCCAGTTGACCAAAGGAATATACAGTTTCAGCATGTTGCTAATGAACTATTTAGGAAAGGATAAATAAAGTGTTTGCTTAAACTAAAAAACTACTCATTGAAGCAAAATAAATACTGATGAATACACAACTTGGAAAGGGATAACTAAAAAGTTCTCTTCAAAAAAAAAATTAATATAACATATCTACTCACCAAGTAAAAGTTTTTGAACCAATTAAAATCATATATATAAAACACATGTAAGAAAAATAAATTCTAAAGAATTGTTATATTTAATTAAGGGCAATAAAAATATTATTTATTTGACACTTGATTGGCAGTTGTCCTAGGGCACATTAATTACTACAAAGTAATCGATAAAGCAAAGAACATTCCCAGGCCAATTAAGTTGACAATTATTTGTCACCTATAAAAAGACCTCGTTGGGCCAAGAATCAAACACTTAACTATTAGAAATTCAACCTATTTGTAACAATTGAGAAATTCTGAGAATGATAACCAAAGTCGCTGATCGGGATACAAGGCCTGGAAAAAAAGAGGATAGCTCCTCGAAGAAATTTCGGACCCTAACCAATGCGATTCGTTTCTGTACTTGGACGGTGGGAGCGGATGTCACCACACCGGAGTACAAGTTATACTGGCGCACCTACATGACCGGCATGCTGATCTTCATGTTCATGCTCTGCACAGGATACACTGTCTATGTGGACGTGGTTATCAATGACGATTGGGTGGCTCTGCTGCAAACCTGCTGTCAAAGCGGTGCAGGCATCCAAGGAGGCACTAAGTTCCTCTGCGTTCTGTTTTACCGCAAGTAAAAATAATAATAATACTTAATACTTAGTTTTAAGTTAAGTTAGGTGATAGCCAGATAAGGATATATCCATTGGCGAATAAATGAGTAAATGAATAAATAAATGAATAATAATTCTAATTAATTTATATCCTTGCAATCTGGATATGAATGGATATGAATTAATTAATGTAATAATGTATTTTTTAAATAACAAAGTCAATCATTTAAAATCGACCTACAAAATACATTTAAACAGTTATTCTCCATGCTCACTTTGTACATATCCTAAATGATTTAAGGTTTTTGTAAATCATTTTTTAAAAGATATTATTTGTGAGCTTAAATATTTTATAATTATGCATCAAATAATCATTGAACTAATTAAATACAACATCCTTAGGGACGTGGTGGAAGTGTTGAACTTTCTACATTTTACCTATGAGAAACACGAATGCCTTGGCCTAAATTATAAGAAGTCGCTGGAAGATGCCTTGAAATTACTAATAACTTGCGCGAAAGGGTTGCTTTCGGTCTATCTGGTTGCCCGTTTGAGCTGTATAATTTTCCCGGCAGCGTATTATGCTCTATATAATGAAAAGCTAATGGTTATGCAGTTTCTGATTCCGGGCTTGGACCCCGATACGATTTTTGGCTACTGGATGCTCACCGTCGTGCACATTGTGTGCACAGTGTGCGGGTTTTTCGGAAACTTCGCCGCCGATATGTATATATTCGTCTTCATTACGAGTGCGCCGCTGGTAAAGAATATCCTTAAATGCAAGCTGGAGGACCTTGATGCCAAGTTGGAGGCTTTTAATGGACAGAGGATCTTACAGAAAGATGTCCATAAAGATATAATGGGAATCATTAACTGGCACAAGAACTATCTAAGGTATATATATATATATATTATGAGTTGTGTAAATTGATGGGCATTCTTTTCAAGACAAGTAAATGGAAGCCATTACTTTTTTAAATTTAAACAATTTATATGCTAAAAAAAATCCAACTAAATACACCGGAATTACAACACACAGAGAACTGTAGAATATAAGAGAAATTAAATTTAACGGGTTTTTTTTTCTCAGACTTCTGGAGTGTTCTGAGCGGATTTTTTTCATAGTGATCTTTGTGGAGATGATCACCAGCTTTATGAGCAACCTGAGTATCCTGTACTGCGTCCTCATTGGAGTCTGGCCCTCGGGCAAGATTTACCTTGCATTCACTATCACGTCCTTTCTTATGTTCAGCGCCTTAGGAACAGTGGTCGATAGTTCGGTGGGTATTTAGTGGGTATTCAGCACATTCATTTGCACATCTTTGATTTATTTTATGCCCAGAATCAGGACTGCAGTGACACCATCTACACCTGTCGATGGTACGATTTGCCCATCAGCGAACAGCGATTGCTGCTCTTCATGCTCCGTAGATCCCAATCCACATCCGGACTTTCGGTGGGAAAAATGATGCCCCTCAACATGAACACCGCGGTGCAGATTTCAAAGGCCATTTACTCTGTTCTTATGCTGCTGATGAGCGGACGGGAGCAGTGAATTTGGGCGGGGAAAAGCTGATTAATTTTTGCTCTTTATCTAATGAACTTGCTGCAAAAGAATTTAATAAACAGTCCCGCACTTTATGGGCCCACAAAAAATTATGTCTGCCAGGCCACAGACCATGAAAAATAGTAGAAGAAAACAAAAAAAAATAGAAATATAAGGAGAGGAAAGCCCAGGCGATGCAAATGAGGGAAAAGTATGAAAAAGCATCGCTGGTAAGTTGTAAAAATTGTCTTTTAATGCCGCGCAAATCCAGCAGATTGCCACGTAGTGCTAATAAAATAAAGTTATGTCCGGGCATAAAGAACAAAAAGCCCGCGCTCCGCTGAAACGCACCCAAAATAGTGTATTTGGTAAGAAAAAAAAAGGAAAATTCAACGAAATCCACAAAAAATGGCGTTAAAAATTGAGTGCGCGGGCGCAAAATTCGTCTTGCCAAGATGGATGAAGAGGCGGCGAGAGGGGGCGGCGAGGTCGGTAAACGCATCATTAATCAAATGTCCGAAGCGTAAGCACAGTTATTCATCATTGCTTATGGCTAAGGTGCTATGCCGCCCCCACCACCTCTCGCAAGTGGAAGCCCCTCAAGAAAGTCCGCATGACTTGCCATATTCGGTCTACTGTTTTTTTTTGGTAATACAAAATAAAATGGCTTGGAGGGTTTTACAAAAATTCAGAACTAAATAGAGAGTATCTAAAGGATATTAAGGAAAGTATAAGTCGAATGTTTTTTTCTACCGCTGAAAATATCTCCATTATAATAAATGTATATTAATTATTAGATAATAAAATAACAACAAACTTTTAAGCGCTATGAAATTGCTCAAAAATAAATAAATATAAAACTAGCAGGCTTTAAAACTTAATCAAAATAAACTTCTTATGAAATGAAATTATTTTAAGTATTAACAGTTTAAAATTCAACAAAAATGGTTTTGCAGGTTAGTAAGTCATATTCTTTTACTTTATATATTAAAATGATGTTTGTTGTAGATTTTGATCTTCCTAAATTTTTAATTAATCCAAAGTGATTTAACAATTCAAAATTCTCATATTTTAAGTAAAGCAATGCTAGAATTCAAGTAGTTATTATCATTCTAAAGAATAGCTGCATGTTTATAAACTTTTTTATATGTTAAGATGAACTGCATTCTAAATAACTAAAAGATCGAAGACAGGGACAGAAAACTCTTGTTCTTTAGACTATTAATATCTGAAAACTTTTTTAATTCCTTTTTTTTAAGCAATTTGATGGTAAAAGAAAATAAAGTTTATTTTTGCTTAGAAAATAAAATTCTCTTAAAATGTTTATTTTCGGTCCGTGCTTTAATATGCAGCTTATTTTGCAGTTGTTGTAATTTTCATAATGAAATATCCAAAAATGACATTCACATTTTACCATAATTTACATAGACTTTGTTGAGCTCTGGCCAACCGGCACACACGTGGCCAAAGCTAAAGAAAATTCAGGAAAAGTGAGCTCTAGTCCTAGAGCTCCCCTTCCATCCCGTATTCTTTAAAGCCCCACCCTAATCACTTTCATAGCCACCCTAATGGCGCATATCAATTTGGCTCAGCCACGTGCTGATGATTTCTTTCCTTTCTTTTTCTTTAATTTTTTGTATTTACTTTACTTGATTTTTTTTCGGGAAAATCTTTGGCTATTTTTTGAAGAACTTGTAGTGTATATTATTGCGGCCTGAAAGTGAATTCCGTGGGTTTTTTCGCTGGAACATCATAAATCAGACTTACATTGCACAGAATCATCAGACAGGCGACAACTTTTCGCAGGAAAGGCGGTCAGAGGATGAGAAACAGGAACTGCTAATGGAGTTTTTACATTAGAGATTGCTTCCCGTCGACTGAATGTTGTTTTTTATCGGGGCAAAAACATCGAGATGCTGCTCTAACACCCCTTCAAGTGTCAGTTACATATTGTCGGGACAACAAAACGCTTCACTTTCCATCAGAGCCAGCAACAACCCGGAAAAAAACACACGAAAAAAAGGTTAGAACCAAAAAATTTGCATACACAGCAGCTGAAACAGGATGCGTCCTTTTTTTTTTGGTGTTGTTGCGGTTGTCTGTCCAGGAAGTGTGCACATTGAAAGGTTTTCGTTTTTGTTCACTCCACGTCGGCAGCTTTTTTCCGGTGGAAAATGAAAAAATATTGTAGTCAAAGTAAAAATGTTAGCTATTAATTGGCCGGCAGAGGAACAAAATGCGAGAGGGATGCTGGTCGAGCTGGCAACTGGGGTGAAAGTCTCCTAAATTAAATAGAAATTATATGCAAATTTGAATCGCGTTTTCCATTAACCCTTCGACGGCAGGAAAATCATATTTGGTTACATTTCCACATCACGTCGACGTGTTTAAGTACGCATCATTGGCCGCTTGCTCGTAATTTAATTGCTTTGGCTTGCGGGGCAGGTATCCTTGTAAGGTCCTGGCAATGAGGCAACTAATTTATGCCGTCGCCCCGAAGGGTTGAGCGACTTTGCACGTGCGCCGCCGTCGAGGAGTTGCTTTATTAATTATTATTCTAATTAATAAGACGCAGATGGAAGAAGTGAACGCTAAAAGGAAAAAAAAAACATAATAAAAAGAAAAACACGGATGCCTGGCAATTTGCATATGAGTGACACAACAGGACATTTGCTTCCTGTCACGCAGCCCGGCGAAGAGGACACAAAAGAGGCGACAGGCACGTTCAAAGGATTCTGGGTCGAGGGGAGGGCATTTTTTCAGCCTCTCCAAAAATCTCCAGCAAATCTCATGCATAATGCAAGTGAAAAGGCCCGTGAGAAACTCCCAGGCCGAAAATTATAGTCCTGCCAGACAAGAATCCTCTTCCTGGCAGCTGCTTTTCGAAACTTTTTTCGCCTTCTGGACCAAACTAGAGTTCCTTGCACTATCATCAACAGGTTTGAGTTGGCCACAAGTCAATCAGTTGACGCCCAAACAATTTGCCAAATCGATAAAACCCTGTATATCCTGTATAGCCTGTAATCCTCACCCCTCCGTCGATCTACCCCTGATCGATTTGCAAGAGATTTGCCAAATTGGCAGAGTCAAATGTCAAAGCAATTAAGTCGCAAAATCGAATCGATTTTCAGGGGACGCATTCGCACTTCCCTTTTGTCACTGGCATTATCACTGTCATGTTTGCTAATTCCCTTTGTTGTTCGCCGTGTTTGCCATTTCACTTTCACCTTTCGCTTTGTGTGCCAATCTCTTTCTTTCTCCGGGGTCGAGGGTTAAAAGTCTGCCAATTTCCGTCCGCTCTCCTAATTATGAGGTGAAGTTATGACAGCCCGGATTACACAAGTAAACAATGCACTTGAATGGGTCTTGATTACTTTCTCGCTTTCTTCTAATGACTTTTGATTAATTGGGGTTGCAGAATGGATTTTCAATTAAAATTATTTGGTTTATTAAAGGCTTTTTAGGCAAAAATATTAATTATTAAATAATAATATTATATAATAATTTTTCTTTAAATTCTACATTATTGAAAATTGTTCTTTTTGTCTTGTAAATAGCCAATATTCAAGTGTTATATTATTGACAAAAGTTGGTGGTTAAATAAATTAGTTTTTTATTGCAAAAGGTATATGAACTTAAACATTCTTTGGACTCTACGAATATTTTCAGGGAATTTAATTTATTCACATTGGGTATGCAGTTTCACAAAGCCATATTTCTCGTTGTGTAACAATTATTTGTGAACTTATTTCTTGTGTTTCATTGTGCTTCCAAGGAATCTCTCTTAAACTTGGACTTCAACTGGCGGCGGTGGACTTTGTTTTCGGCTCGTTTCAATGAAATTCATAAAAACAATTTCTTTTATGGCAACTCGAGTGGCCCCATCTCCAATCCGCATCGTGCGTTGCTGGGGCCCAGGCTCAGCGAAATTGGTTTTTAAAAATATTTCACATTTCAATCTCCCCACTGGCCCGGACGCACTTGTTTCCCTCTATCTTTCTGTGGGCCACCTTGGCCGGAAAACTTGTAATAAAAGCCAGTGTCCCGCCTCCTGTGGGCGTTGGATTTATGGCGAGGAGGTGGGCAATGGGGGGGAATCGGGAAAACAGCCGGGCCACAACAGTTGGCCAAGCCAAACGCACCGCACATTGTTGGCTTTTTTACTGTCCCCACAAATAACAATCAAAATATAAAATATCCCCCCGCCGGTTGCCGCTGGGGATAAGATTTTTAGCCAGGGGAAATTGCCGCAAGTCCTGCGGGGCTACGTGGAAATTACAGGTGCCTAATGCAAATTTGTGTGCCATATTTCCAGCTGAAAAATAATATTCGCTTTTGCGCTGCGTTTGCTAAAAAAATCTTCCTTATTTTCTTTCTATTTTGATTGCCAGCTTTTCAGATTTGGATTTAGATTTTGATTTTGGATTTGAGTATGAGTTTGAGTTTTTCCCTTTAGCTGTGCCGACTTCGCTTGATTGTCATCATTGAGGCTGAAAAACAGATTTGCCTCCAATCAACGTGGCACTTAATTTCGTTTATTTGATTGGATTTGTGTTTACATGGCTGCCCTGCCAGAGAAAAGGGGGATGTGGGTGGCCAAGGCCAGACATGTGGGTGGGCGGGCTGTTGGAAGACCGAAATTCGTTGCAAATTAGAAAATCAAATCACTTTCGGCCGGACTCACACGCCGTCGGCCAAAAAAAAAGGAAGAGAAAACTGAGAGGAGCACATACACAGAATAACGCACACATAAATTTATGAATATTGAAAAATTAAATCGACATTTTCGCCACCCTCAATAAAGCCAAAAAAAAAATTCAGGAGAGTGAAAAAACATGGCCACGGAAGTGGTGCGTTGTTGTTGTTACCCAGCTTTTTTTCAACCATTTTTCCAATGATGGATTTTCGAAATTTTAATGGTGGCTCTCGCTGCTTGGATGAGTCCAGAAGTCCCAGAGTCCTGAAGTCCTGAAGTCCTGGCTTCCCAGAGTCCTGAGAACGGAGTCAAC